TCATTCGGACTCCTCGCCTTTTTGGTGGCGGGTGTGATTTCCCTGCATCCTACAGCAGTCACAGGAGACCCTACACGAGCCATAGACGGTGAAAATTCTCCTTCTCCTTCTCCTTCTCCTTCTCCTGCAACGACTTTTGGACGTCGATCCAGGTCAATTCCTTATCACTCTTATACTATTATTTCATCAAGTTCTTGAAGAGGACGTCGACGCACTCATACGTAAGATTGGGAACCACGCGATCAGCTCTGAGGGGAGGTCCCAGAAGGAAGTCTTGATAAAACGATGGATTGGCACCTATGGGTGCGCGATGCTGAGAGTGGGAAGCTCCCTTGGATGGTCACACAAGCGTGATCACTTCAGACATACCTCCCGACAGCAAGATGCTAACCAGAGGGTCATGGAACTGAGTCAGTTTGTGGGACGCCAACCTGGCAGAGTCAAGGTGATCCCTCTCCCGTGGCGCTGGTGCCTGCATGGTTTTTTGAAATCTCGTATTACTGCGACCCAAGGAGGAACAACACGCAAACAGCTCACGAACACGAGAATACAAAACAACAACAGTTTGTGCTTTCTACAGCAGCGTCCGCCTTCTTCTATTCTCGCGGGCTCTCAAGTGGAGCTCAGACGGTACACTGACAGTGCTCGCAGTGACGCTCGTATCAGTACCTGCGATGTAATTCGCATCTGTGCCAGTCTTGCATCTGCTGGTCCTCGTGTTTGGTCCTAGGGCCTGCGCTGGCGCTTGTACTCGCTGAGTGCAGCTGGAGGTGTTGGAGACAATCGCCGGCTTTGAGTGGTTTTGAAGAACACGGGTATAATGACCTCGCCGAGGCACTAGTTGTAGGTGGTTGGTCCTGTCATCGATGGTGCAAAGGGGCAAAAGTTGTCAATGGAGTGCAGCATCGTTCGTACGCAGATGGATAAAATACCGACTTTCAAACACCAATATTCATACATGTGGTAGAATGTGCCAAGTGGACAGCCAATGGAATACGCCAAGAAGTTGAGCAGGTTGCTGTGTGAGCAGTGGGGTTTGTCTCATGCTGAAGAACTATGAAAAAGTGTTCGGAGTTGTAGGGATTGAAAATTGGACGTGGGTTTATGTGGGATTGAACACCGGATTCTGAGGGAGAGAGGATCTGATTGCAAGCCATGCAGGACGGGGTACGACGGATGGAGAATATCGTGGACGATTCGTGTCCCGGCGCTTGTTTGCGACGGTAAAACGGACCGAAAAATATGGTGTGTCGTCCCGGTTGAAGCAGTGCTTAGGTAGTAGGCACAATGTTTCCGGACCCAAGCGCCTACATGAGGCTATGTTGTTCTTCATGGAATGAGCTGCATGCTGTAGACGCATTGCACCAGCCACGCACCTTGACCAAAACCATTGCTTCAGCAATAGGTAGATCTCTCGCATTCTCCTCTTTGGCGTCTCTAACTTCCGGCTAGGCATAACAGACGAGGAACTCAGCGGGAGAAGAACTGAGGATGAAGGATGCCAAACAGTTACCTGGATCACATCGAGAGCCTGTCAAGACGTTTCGGGGTCATGATGGGAACATCACTTCAATGGCAACTTTTTCGGATGGCAAGAGAATAGTGACTGGGTCTGTCGACAATACAATACGCATATGGAGGCTTGAGGACGGCAAGGAGATGATGAAGTGGGTGGTGAAGCAGTTGCTCGGCGCACTTGTAGTCTTGGGAAACGGGAAACAGGTTGTAAGTGCTGAGGGAGAGGACCCAACAAGCGATCCTAAAGAAGGTTTTCAAGAAGACGATGCTGATAATGTGGCGTATTGGGGGTTATGGGTACGTGATGTTGAGAGTGGGAGGATCGTCGCAGGTCCCTTGGAAGGTCACACCAACATGGTGTTTACTTTGGACATTTCCCCTGACGGCAAGATATTGGCCAGCGGGTCATTCGATCGCACAGTGATTTTATGGGACACGACCACCTGGCAGAGGAAAGGTCATCCTCTTGCATGCGGATCACCCATCACTGACATCCGATTTTCTGTGACCGGTCAACTCGGCGTTGCTACCGCGGAAGATATCCAAATATGGGACTTGGAACAAAGGAAGCGTCTTGCTCAATTCAACGGCCACTGCGGCTTTAACAATGCATGGAACTACTCGCTCACCTGGAGTCGTGATGACGCACATCTCTTCTCAGCCGGTGATCGCAAAGATCCTGTCATCCGCTGTTGGGATACATCCACCTCGAAACAGGTTGGTGATCCTTGGACTGGCCATGACGAAAATGAACACATCCAACATATCGTCTTGAACCCAGCTGGCACCCTTCTTGCATCAGCATCTCATGACTACACTGTCCGATTGTGGCAGTTCCCCACAGGCACAGAAGTCACCCGATTCGAGCACTCAGATCTGGTGGTTCGTGTTGCATTCTCGGTGGATGGACACTCCATATTCAGTGGCGGCTTCGACAAGAAAATCTCGCAATGGGAGATACCTGAGGATGTGCTCGCAGCAGCAGAAAGTGTTTCCCTGGCCAGCCTGAAGAACGAGGTGACTACTCCCTACTGTGATCTCACTGCCTCGCATGCTTACACGCACTCATTCCAAGGCTGGCCGAGCCAAAAACAAGGTGTGTTTTCTAACCCCGCATATAATATACATCCTGACTTTCGATCAGATGAAAGGACTGCATAATGTATGTCGTTTTATATCCATTCGATGGTCCCCGCTTCAATAGTGTCTGATTTACTTAGTCATATATTCATGGCCAGCGCGGGAATCGGCCAGTGAACTACCAGCACGCCACTTACTCTGCATCGCCACTCGCTCACGCGGAACGCCCGTCACCTTCTCGTTCGCTCGATGTCAGGACCTTTTTCAATGGCATTCGGCCGTCATTCGACAAGAAGGGGAAGCAAAAGGATCATCAGGCGAAACAAAAGACTCCGCGAGTCGTCAATGTTCCTCTTGGAATAGTCACATATGTTTGTGTTCTGCAATTCCACTGGTTTTCTGAGATCTGACCATGTCCTTCACTAGGGTGATGCTGTTGGTGTGGACGACGGGAAACGACCATATGTACTCTTCTTCTGCCTTTCTTGGTTCCAGAAAAAGAAGAAGAAACCGGTTTCACGGCCAGTCTATGATGACGACCCTTCAGATGACGAATCTCAGCATTCCGTTGCTAACGTTCCCATACCTACTACCAGGTAACACTAGGTGATTTGCTTGTTAAATGGCTTTCCTGATGTACCGCAGTAGGACCCAATTCGACGCCCCCCAAAAAGTCAAATTGAACCCAGCGACTTTTTTTCAGTCACAGCACGAGGCAGGACCATCTCGCCTCGCTCCGCCAGTCGACAATGAACAAGAAGTAGACATCGTCAATGTCTCGATGCCTACCCCCAGGTATAAAAACCTTATTCGTTTGTTGTACGGATGACCTGATGCGGTGTCGTAGCATCCAAATTGCCCAGCGCGAAGACATCGAATTGAAACCGATGGCCAGTCAGTCCCAGCCAGAGGCAGGACCATCTCGCCTCGAGGCACATGAAGAACACAGTCGTCGTAGTCAGTTATATCTTTCAAGCTTTACATTGTAATTACAGCTTTATTTGCCCGCGTCCGTGATGACCGCGACCTTGAAATTGACCGCCCGCATTCGCTGAGGTTATCTGCGGCTCTTGCGGTATTTCACTTGGGCATCAGAATATCGTTGGTCCTATATTCCTACGTCAGTTTGATATTCTTTCATGACCCTAGGGAACCACCGTGGTCAACAGTAGGAGACATAGCCCGACATTTACATTTACTATTGTTGGAAGGCTGAGGTAGAGTCGTGACAGCAGCGGCGAAGGCTGGGCGCTAGGGAGATGATCAAAATCCGCGATGAAAACCCGTAGCAATATCATGAACAGTGAACAAAAGCCGGTAACGGCATCAAAACAACCAAGGCCGGTGGTGTTGCATCACGGGCGCTGGTCAGTTGGAGACTGATGATTGTATTCAAATCGCCGCCTTTCAACTTGTCAGCGTTGGAATGACCGGGGATGCGACGTCAGATAGCTGTACAGCATGAGGCATGTACTTGTTAGCGACAAAACAGTGTAGAATTATCACTCGGCGCTACGAAGTGGCATTCTGGCATGTACGAGGAGAGAAGGAGATCCACTCGACAAGGACGCCCGTAATGAGTAGACGAGATATCGATTGCACGGTGACCAGAGGGATAACACCTTCTGGAACACGTGCAATTGATGATATCTCGCCCGTCTGACATTGGACGTTATTTGAGTTCATTTGTAGGAAAAGAAGAACTCAGCCAGTGACTGATGATACTGCGGTGCTAAGAAAAACGGGAGCTGGGTGTCCTGTGAGCAGAGAAACTAGTACAGACCTTGTTGGTCTGGAGTTGATGCTTTACAAAGTGTACCTTGAGGGAATGGTATGGTGAGATTTACAACAGAAAAGAGGAAGGCCATCATTTGGCATGATCCCAAGCGACCGCGGAAGATTATGATGTGCAGCGAGAGCCTAGGGTGAGTGGATTGTGCAAGCAGAGTCCTTGAACTGAAGCAGAGTTCAACCGTAACACCAATGACAACATCTTCGTCGGATCTGATGCTGATCCACTGGATGGCTAGAGAATGAGGCGTTTCGTTGAGGGCTTTCCGGGTTAAACGTTAAACCACGAAGGATATCAATGGAGTGACCTCAAGTGATATGCGGTACACTACAAACGTGATACACGTCTGAATCTCAAACTGTCGTACCAAGTTGACAGTCGATGGTAAACAACAAGAAGTTTAACAGGTCGCCCATATGCGTGAGTATTGGGATGGTTTGTCCCATGCTGAAAAGCTCGGAGTGGGCGAACTATGAAATAACGTTCGGGTTTGCGAGTTCATGGGAAATAGAAAAAAACAGATTCTGTGGGACAGAGGATCTGATTGTATGCCATACAGGACGCGTACACTCTACATAAAATTGTACAGTGACTCAAGACCGTGACAGCTAGGCTCGTGACCAGCCTGGCTTACTAATACCACGGACAAGTCGAGTGGCGAAGCCAGGCTGGTCGATCTCGGAGAAATTTGGCAGGAGGAGCGAGGAGTTTGAAATTTAGTAGATGCCGGTCGTGCCGGCGGTACTCGATCGTATGTAGCACAACTTATGCATCTACCATACGCTCGTTCAGACTATATGCTATGTTAAGTTTCAACCATGAGTTCCATACGACCTTTATCGCTCGCTGCTCGAGATGCGATTGAAGATCTCCCGACGGACTTTACGAGTGCGCTTTCAACGACACAACACCAGCAAGTTCTCGAGGCCATCTCGCGACTCGATTTCATTTCCCAAGGATCACAACATCCGAAGTTGTTTCAACTCAGATGTCTCGTATCGTTACTTTCTGGAAGACACGTCGTACTTCGAGCTGCAACAGGCTCCGGCAAGACCCTCGTTCGATAGCGATTGGTCGTAAAACAACACGAAGTTGCTCACTCGCTCGCTCATCAGCATCCAACACGTTGAAAAACTGCACAAGGGCCTTGCTTCGAAAAAACCCGTCTCTCCAAGGTAGCATGGAGGTCTTGTTCGAGATAGAGTGCAACATAAGGTCCATGGCCGTCATCCGAAGCCCACGAAGGATTTTGAGGACCGCAAGGACTTTTTCATCAATGTCGAGGCTCGAAGGATCGACAATCCAAATCAATGGCTCAACAGGTGGCTGATATTGTGGCATGGGCTGGTGAAAGGCATGAAAAGGTATCATTTTATCGTCCTATTAGATGTTAAGTACTGTTGCTCGATGGACTATGATGTTTGAGAGGCGTACACTTTGCTTAAGGTGCGAACGAAGGACTTGTGTCAAGACTCAACGCTGTATACATACAAAATACAACGATCACCTAAACCGGCATCACCGGCATCTGTCAAATTTCAAACTCCTCGCTTCTCCTGCCAAATTTCTCCGAGATCGACCAGTCTGACTACGTCAAGCACTTAACAATCTCAAAGACGTAGTCCAGACTGGTTACGAGTCTACGTGACAGCGTGATGAGTGAAAAAGACATTCCTGAGTCCATTGTAGCTGAGACACGCCGCATCTGTGCTCACAATATTTGATATTGTGAAGGAGTCCACGGGTAACATCGCACACCAAACATAGCTAGCAAAAGAGCTAGTCAGTATAGTTCCGGATGATGACACCGGCGCACCCAGAAACGACCATGCAGGTACCAGCACCAGCGGCAGTGTAGAAATCGAAATCTGCTGATGAGTCAGGTGTGAACGTGATGGCGACTACTTAGACTGAGCAAAACTCATGCATCAACAGAGCCCAACGTAATGCAGCTTATGCCAAATCACCAATATTTGAAAGCCAGTTCCGAAGTAAAGTCGACCACCTGCAAAAGTGGTTCAACTGTTGAACGGCGACCCAACAAGTTCGACACCCATGGTTTACAAAATCGCTTCGAGAATTTGCCACCGTTGGGGCTGGCAGCCTTGAAAAAGAAGGGGTAATTGTCTTCCTTCTATGGTCTATCAAGGTCTGACTACAGGAGACTAACCTTGCCTACTACTAGCGCGCTGATCGTGAGGAAAGGTTGACAGTAAACAGAAGTAAATAACGCGCTTCACGAGCTCAGGCTAAACATATCATATCATCATGATCTAGTGTAAGTACACATTCTCCTGTCTCTTTCACATGCATATGCAACAGCCTCTACTTTACAGTTACGAACATCATGAGCAGTCAAGCAACTGATTCAACCATCAAGCCAGAAGCAGTCGACCCACTAGGAATCGGCGCTCCGTTACCTTTGGCCCATGTCCTCTCCGAGCCAAAGGTACATCCATCTTCACCACAAGCTCCAACGCATGTCAAAATATACCTCCAAGATGACTGCTTGAAGCACCGCTTCATCCGCTCACGAGATGCCTCGAGCATTGTGGAGCGACCCGAACGTTTACGCGCCGTCAAGATTGGACTCGCTGCTGCCATAGCGCGTATCGAAGAGGCCGAAGGTGCTCTAAAGCCCTCGGATGCAAACTTTTCTGTGGAGGTTGAGCTGGCTGCTGCCCTCGACAAGATGAATATCGCTGCATCCGATGGTGGGCTTATCCGAGCCCGAAGTATCTCTGTCACAAGAAGTACAGCTACTGTTGATCTGTTAGATAACGCCGCCGTGAAATACGTTCATGGGGATATAGATGGGGATGTGTATCTCCAGAACTTGAAGGCATGGGCTCGGGATAGCGAAGAGAATATTACTAAGAAGGGGTCTGAAATGCCGGAGGGGACGCCACCACTCGACCTGTACCGTGCGTGTCTATCTTGGGGCGAATTAGGCTACTGTGCTTATGTTTTTTATGCTTGCAGTATGTCCTTCCTCCATTGATGCTATTCAAGGTGCTATTGGAGCTGTTTGCCAAGCGGTAGACGCCGTCATCGCATCTACTGGCAAAAATGCCCCCGCTGTAGCTACCGACCCTCAACGAGCATTTGTAGCAGTTAGACCGCCAGGCCATCATTGTGGTGAAGATACCCCTTCTGGATTCTGTTTTGTAAATAATGTAGCGATTGGTGCAGCTCACGGTAAGCTTTCTCTACTTTCTCGAATGCCCATTTACTCATTCATTTTGTAGCACACCTCAAGCATGGGATTCAACGTATTGTTATATTGGACATTGATTTGCACCATGGCAAGTTCATGGTCATTCATCAGGGACATTCTACCTAAATATTTTGCCAGGTAATGGCACGCAGTCAATAGTGTGGCAAATAAACGAGGAGACCTACCAACAGACGCTTGAATCTGAACAGTTGCCTTCGGACTCCGACGTACCGCCTCAAAATCGCGGTCCGCAGATATACTATGGTTCGATACATGATGTTCTCTCTTTCCCATGCGAGGTAAGGAATGCTTCTGTGATTCAATTATCGCGAATGATGCAGCGTCCTGTAGGACGGTAAGGCGACATTCGTTCAAGCCGCGTCAACGTCAATACACGGTCCGCATGGACAATACATCGAGAATATACATCTACAGACTTACAACTCCGAAGCATACTTTTGGGATGTCCTCTACAAAGAACAATATTCTGTACTGCTGAAGCGAGCATCAGAGTTCCTTGACAGTACTGGCGGGCCAGGAGATGATGTCTTGGTGTTCATCAGGTGCGTCCAATATATCTCATGTCAAATTCCATTGTAAACAGTCAAAAACAGTTGCGGGTTTGATGCCTGTGAACACGAGTATCCAAGCATGTCTCGTCATAATCGAAAGGCCCCTACAAGTTTCTACCACCGATTTGCTCTTGACACGTGCGCTATTGCCAATGTTTATGCTCGTGGACGCGTCGTGAGCGTGCTGGAAGGCGGGTACAGCGATCGTGCGCTAAGCAGCGGGGCAATGGCACATATATGTGGACTCGTTGGGGAGACCGTGGAAGTGGATGAGAGGTGGTGGAACTTGGAAAATCTCATCGAGGTATTTCAGCTTGCAATGCATCTCTTTGTACTATACTCAAGGATCATTGTAGCTTGAGAAAGCCACAAAGGCCCGCAAATTCGGGAGCCCTTCGCTGGGGAACACCAACCGCGAACCGTGGCTTACGCGTACCTCAGAACTCCTCTCTCATTTCGACCTCTACCGGACCCCACCACAGCCTTCGCGGAACAGGGCTGCCCCGACATCGCGGACCCTGCGCGAGCGCAAGAAACTTTCGGGAAACAGCAGTACACCCGAGGTGGCTAGTAAGCCTGACAAGGACACACACACATCGGTGCCTGTATCCAATAGTTTGTCGATTTCTGCATCCGCGTCCGAGAGTGAGGTCATGAGGCCTCTCTCTGCAAAGAAGCTGCCTCGAGTGATTTTGCATGTCAAGCCGCCTGAGAACACGTCGTAACGGTGGTGTATACGGTGTTGTGCTGATTATAGGAAGTTTTTATATCTATCTAACGTGTACCTGTTAATTCGAATCTTGATATTTTTATTTGCTCGTTCGAACTTCGCGCAGATCTTGCCGATTATTCCTGGACCTGGACCCTCAGACCTCAACGCTCCAACGACGATCATTATCACTCGTCAGATCATCGATCATCCATGAATGGTACCCTTACTACTGTGGATCTCCAGGTGTAACAAAAGTCCTCGACTCCATTGGTATCTTTTTCATGTGCGAACATGTTGAATCATACTCTCGCTCGAGCAAGAATTGAAAAAATCGCATGACCACTATTTTTAGTGGAACTATAAAAATGCAGTGAATTTCACTGGCGCTCATCACAATAAATCTATGAGTAGGATATAGGGACCTGCTCGGCAAAGAGGTTACCACTGGGATTCTGTGTTGAGAATGCTCAGCCGACTATTCCTTATTGGACAATTATGTAAATGGAGGCTTTGATGCGGGCGTCAATCTTTTCTTAAACCACGTCATTATAGAACATCGTGTTCGCCAGCGTCCGCGCCAAAACCCGGTTGTTCGCAATGTCAACGTTCGACTATGTAGAGATTCCTCCAGACGTGATTCGTCTGCAATCATCTCCAGCCTCCAATCCCGTCCGCCCGTTCACCAAAATCAGCACATCATTGCCATCATGCTCGCCCGCTACTGCAGCTGCGGTTGCAGCTGCGGCCAGCACCACCTTCAGTCCGACAAAGTCACTGTCCACCCTGCTCCTTAGCACATCTCTTCCAGCTTCTATTCCAACTTCCGCAAGCCCTCGCAAGTCCAGTACGGCTCTGCTGAGCACGAGAGACCCGCTCAGCATCCCAATCACGACCGTCAATTTCAGGAGGTTCGTATCTAGAGTAGGCCCCGTGTTTTGGTTGCAGGATCGAGTGGAGGAGATCCTTATGTGGAGATGTGGGTGGAAATATACTGGTGTCTGGATTGCTTGTTACGCGTTCTTGTGTGCGTGCCACCTTCACCCTTCTTGTTTCTGAATCTTATATGGGACTGTAGGCTACTTTCCTCGCATGGTGCTCCTTCTACCGCATGCTATAGTAGCAGCTATAATTCTCTCGACGTATCCTACCCCTTCTCCATCAGAATCAATATCAACGAAGAACCCACCTTCTCCAATTGCGCCTCCACCCTCAGAAGGCAGTGTAGACTGGCAAGCGAACCTTCAAGCGATTCAAAATCTCATGGGCGCGTTGTAAGCGTTAAATAATCCTTTCTGCCTTCATGTTCTGACACACCGTCTCAGCTCTGATGCCTACGACCTCCTCTCACCCCTTACTCCCCACCTTATCCACCGTTCCACTCATACCTCGCTCGTCCTAACGTTCACCCTCCTCTCTTTCCTCTTTCTACTGCCTGTCCTGCCTTTAATCCCCCTCCGCCTGCTATTCTTTGTCCTGGGAGTATCACCATTCATATGGACGCATCCATTCACGCAAGCACAAACCATACCCCTGCTCAAAGCTGCAATAAATGGTGGTATCGTAAAGGGAGGCAACGCGAGTAACACACTACTGGGAATAACTAGCAAATATGCTTCCCTGAAGATGAAGCTCCGCCGCTGGATCGACGATGACAGACTCGACGACAAACATTGGGGAGCCGAGATGCGGGAGGTGGAGCTATGGGAGAACGAGAGGTGGGCTCCGGGGCCTTCTTCATCGTCCTCGTTCAGCACGCAGGATGATCTTGATGCTGCGGGTTCGGGGTTTGATGTTGGAGATGGATCCGGAAGTGCGTTAGTAGGTCCGGGAGCTGGGACGTGGAGCAAGACACACCTGAGGCCTGCTGATCGCGCGCCATGGACGAAGGCGAGAGATGGGTGGAGTGGAGTGGGCGGTGAAGTGAGGTGCGCGTTTTTTTTCGGACTGGTGTTTTTCACATTTTGAAATCGCTACTAACTCCCCGCGACCCCAGCAGCAACCTTACGTTCTCGCTCGCACCGGGTTGGGCATTTGTAGAGACAGAGGGGTGGAGGCCGGACGCGCTGGGGAACTGGGTCTATGGCGCTTCTGGTTCTGGGGACGGTGATCCTGCCTATGGGGCGGACGACAGTAAGTTCAATATAGTGATATCACGCACTGATTCTCATTATAATCGACAACTAGACGGCTGGGTGTATACTAATGACGTCTGGGCTGATCCGCGCCGGATGCCTCTTGAGGCGTGGAAGGCGTCGGGCATGACTAGGCGGAGGAGGTGGGTGCGGAGAGTGTATTTTGATCCAGCATTGGCTGAGAGTGCGTGAGGAGTATGGGATTTGGGTGAGTTTACTTTTAGGAGATGGGGCATGTTGATCATTGTACTACATAGTATGACTGTTGTGACATACTAGACTGCTAATCATAATCGTTTGCAATTCGTGTTCGAGGCATGAGCGTTGGTGGATCTAAAATTGGGATGAACGGTATGTAAGAATCTATGATTGTAATCGAACCCGAACAACAACATGATGGGTTCTGAAGCCAACCATGAAGAGGTATGTCGACCACATGCGAGTGTTATGATCATTATGCTAACATGATCCAGGTGGATGGTCATGCAATCATCCTGATATTGCGCTTATCATGAATTATATATAGGACTAGCTGAAATGCTGTAAGTATGGCCACATGATTCTGAACCTGTGAACGAATAGTGCCGCCTCACGAAATGCAAGCCTACATAAGTACAGTGGCATAAAATACTCCCGAGAAGTGTTGCCTGAAGTGTTCATCCCCCACTATCCTTCCTAGTCCACGTTTTACAGCTATGGAGAGCTGGAGTGTTGCTATACTTGGTGATGCCGGTGTTGGTAAAACAACTTTGGCTATTCAAGTCAGTCATTAACATTGCCCACACTGTTGTCCCCACGCTCACTTCATGTACCCTCGTATTAGTCCACCCGCAACTTCCCTTTTGGTACGTCCAAGTAGTGCCAGCCTTCTGTTGTAATCTAATGACCTTGATCGTCCTGGGAATAATGTTATTCAGAGGTATGCGTTCCTATACATATCCCACATCAATTTGACCCATGGCCACGCCCGCAGACTCCATACGACCCGACAATAGAAGTTTATAGCAAGCAGTTCATGGTAGATAACAGGATATGCTTCGTCGAAGTTATCGACACTTCTGGGTTTGGTCAGTAGTAATCATCAGACCCTTGCATATGTCTGATATCCACGCAGACTTGGAGGAGTACCTTTCGGCCGCGCGGTACGTAATGACCACTCAGTGTGCTCTTTCGCTTTGTCTCATTCTCTTATATTTGACTGTAGGGAAAACCAGGGATTTATTCTGGTCTACTCCATCGCATCTCGGGTGACGTTTGAACGACTGGACATTTTCATAAAGTTGCTCAAAGCCAAGCTCAAAAAACCTACCTTCATACTGGTCGCGAACAAATCCGATAAGATCGATCAGCGTGAAGTCTCACGCGAGGAGGGCATTGCATTCGCCAAGATATGTGGCTGTGAATTCATGGAGGCCTCAGCAAGCACAGCATATAATGTTGAGTTCCTCTTCCAAAACCTAGTACGTGCCCTACGACAGGCGAGAGCCATGACTCGGAGTGGATCAAGGCGAAAACAGGACAAAAAGAAACCCGTTAAATGTGTGGTTATGTGAAGGATATGATCATTATTAGCGACTTAAATTCCATCTCCCTTCACCTTGAATCTGCGTTGTTCTTTATGGAAATTTACTCGCTTTAAAGCTATGGTTATATTCTAGCTACGATAACGTAGGTCACAACTTACCCCTAGAGCTTCTTGGCAGAGTCGCCCATTACCTTTCTCCCCCCTCTCTCGCTGTACTTGTTCTCATCAGCTCCCATCTACATCCAGTTGTACAACGCGTCCCCTTCCACAGCGTATCACCTTCCACCCGGTCGCAAAACCTATGTATCGTCAACACTTTTCCCAAGAAATTGCACATCGCGTGTTTCGTACGGTCCTCTCACATTGCTATCGATTCGCCTGCTCCTGTCTTCCACGCCTTTTATGGCCCGCTTGCCAAAGCCACATCTAAGTTTAGGCTGTAGGACCATGCAAACGCGGAGAAAGAGGAGGGTGAGTCAGAGAAGTTTGGGTTGCATCACGCTCATAACTGGGTCCGTACATCTTGTCGGAGCTGAACGATTGATATCGGGGAGCTCGTCTCGGCTCATAGGAAAGTAGCCCTTTCAACAGAATACGTACCATTCGTTGATGGGTTCTGAAGCAAACCATGAAGAGGTATGTTGACCCTTGAGTACATGCGAGTGTTATGATCATTATGCTAGCATGATCCAGGTGGACGGTCATGCAATCATCCTGATATTGTGCTTATCATGAATTACATATCGGATGAGCTGAAATGCTGCAAGTACGGCCACATGATTCTGAACCTGTGAACGATTAGCATCACTGGGGGTTTTCATCGTAGATTTCAACCATCTCGTTTGCGCCTATTTGTTGCCGCCTGCTGTCGCGACTCTACCTGAGCCATCCAAAGATATCAAAAGTAAAGGTCAGACTATGTCCCCCACTCCAGACCACACCAATTCCCTCAGTCATAAATAAATAAGACAACGTGCACTGTTCGGGAGGCCAGTGAAGTGTTTCGCATCAAACTTAGCATAGACCAAGAGCAATCAGCTGGATTGGAGGTACAAATACACGGGAACGCGAAATGTTGTACATTCAAAATAGTGCGTAAAAAGTAAAGATCAATGTCAATGTCATCATTCGCAAGACCAAAGCATGGTGTGATGGGGCAAGCACGATGGAAGACTTGAAACTACGAAGACTGTGCTCCCGGGTGTTCTTCAGGTGTCGCAAGACGAGATGATCCTGCCTCTGGCTGGGACTGACTGACCATCGGTTTCAATTTGATGTCTTCGCGCTGGGCAATTTGGATCCTACGACATCGCATCAGGTCATCCGTAGAACAAACGAATGAGATTTCAATACCTGGGGGTAGGCATCGAGACATTTACAATGTTTACCTGTTGTTCATTGTCAACTGGCGGTGCGAGGCGAGATGGCCCTGCCTCCGGCTGTGACTGAAAAAAAGTCGCTGGGTTCAATTTGACTTTTTTGGGGGCATCTAATTGGGTCCTACAGTACATCAGTAAAACCATTTAGCAAGCAAATCATCTGGAGTTACCTGGTAGTAGGTACGTGAACGTTAGGAACGGAATGCTCAGATTCATCATCCGAATCGTCATCATAGACTGGCCGTGGAACCGGTTTCTTCTCCTTTTTCTGGAACCAAGAAAGGCAAAAGAAGAGTACGTAAGGTCGTTTCCCGTCGTCCACACCAACAACATCACCCTAGCGAAGGACATGGTCAGATCTGAATAAAACCAGTAGAATTGCAGAACACAAACATATGTGGCTATTCCAAGAGGAACATTGACGACTCGCGGAGTCTTTTGGTTCGGCTGATGATCCTTTTGCTTCCCCTTCTTGTCGAATGACGGCCGAATGCCATTGAAAAAGGTCCTGACATCGAGCGAACGAGAAGGTGACGGGCGTTCCGCATGAGCGAGTGGTGATGCAGAGGAAGTGGTGCGCTGGTAGTTCACCGGGATATTTCGGCGCTGGCCATGAATATACGACTAAGAAGTAAATCAAAAACTATTGAAGCGGGGACCATCGAATGGATATAAAACGACGTACATTATGCAGTCCTTTCATCTGATCAAGAGTCAGGATGTATATCATATGCAGATTTAGAAAACACACCTTGTCTTTGGCACGACCAGCCTTGGAATGAGTGCGTGTGAGCATGCGAGGGAGTGAGATCACAGTGGGGAGTAGTCACCTCATTCTTCGCGCTGGCCAGAGAAACACTTTCTGCTGCTGCGAGCACATCCTCAGGTATCTCCCATTGCGAGATTTTCTTGTCCCAACCGCCACTGAATAGAAAGCGTCCATCCACCGAGAATGCAACATGAATCACCTTATCTGAGTGCTCAAATCGGGCGACTTCTGTGCCTGTGGGGAACTGCCACAATCGAACAGTGTAGTCTCCAGATGCTGATGCAAGAAGGGTGCCAGCTGGGTTCAAGACGATATGGGTGATGGGTTGATTTTCTTCATGGCCAGTCCAGGGATCACCAGCCTGTTTCGAGGTGGATGTGTCCCAACAGCGGATGACAGGATCTTTGATATTACCGGCTGATAAGAGATTTGCGTCATCGGGACTCCAGGTGAGCGAGAAGTTGAATGCTTTGTTAAATTCGCTGTGGCCGTTGAATTGAGCAAGACGCTTCCTTTGTTCCAAGTCCCATATTTGGATATCTTCTATTGTAGCAACGCCGAGTTGACCGGTCGGAGAAAATCGGATGCAATAGATGGGTGATCCGCACGCAAGAGAGTGGTTCCTCTGCCATGTAGTCGTGTCCCATAAAATCACTGTGCCATCATATGACCCGCTGGCCAATATCTCGCCATCAGGGGAAATGTCCAAAGTCCGCACATAGTCTGTGTGACCTTCCAAGGGACCTGCGACAGTCCTCCCACTCTCAACATCGCGTACCCATAACCCCCAATACGCCACTTTATCAGCATCGTCGTCTTGAAAACCTTTTTCAGGATCGCTTGTTGGGTCCTCTCCCTCAGCACTTACAACCTGTTTCCCGTTTCCCAAGACTACAGATGGGCCGAGCAACTGCTTCACCACCCACTTCATCATCTCCGTGCCGTCCTCAAGCCTCCATATGCGTATTGTCTTGTCGACAGACCCAGTCACTATTCTCTTGCCATCCGAAAAAGTTGCGATTGAAATGATATCACTATCATGACCCTGAAACGTCTTGACAGGCTCTCGACGTGATCCAGGTAGCTGTTTGGCATCCTTCATTCTCAGTTGTTCTCCTGAGGTCGCTGAATTCCTCGTCTGTTATGCCTAGCCGGAAGTTAGAGATGTCAAATAGGATAGTGCGAGAAATATACCAATTGCTGAAGCAATGGTTTCGGTCAAGGTGCGTGGCTGGTGCAATGCGTCTACAGCATGCAGCTCATTCCATGAAGAGCGACATCGACTCATGTAGGCGCTTGGGTCCGGAAACATTGTGCCAAAGCACTGCTTCACTCGTGACGACGCACTATATTTCGGTCCGTTTTGCCGCCGCAAACAAGCGCTGGGACATGAACCACTGATCATAACCTCCATCCGTCGTACCCCGCTCTGCATGGCATACAATCCACTGAATCCGGTATTCTACCCCCCGTGAGCCCACTTCCAATTTTTAATCCCTACGACTCCGAACAGTCTTTCATAGCCCACTCACCCCTCTACACACTTTTCAGCATGAGACAAACCCTCCTGTTAAATTCCTTGGTGTGTACTTCATGCAAGAAGATCGTCGTTTGAAAGTTAGTACTTTATCTGTCTGCGTAAGAACGATGTCTTCATTTCATTGACAAGTTTCGCTATTTTGCATCACACAGCCAGCATCGATGACAGGACCAACCGCCTACGACTAGCGTTTCAACAATGTCATTATTCCTCTCTTCTTCAAAAACTACTGGAGGCCAGTGATTTACCCTGATTTTCTCCAAGATCTCCAGTTGCACTCAGCAAGTCACCACGTGACCATGTCCAGACGCTAGTACAAGCGCCAGTGCAGGCCCTAGGGCCAAATCGAGGGCCAGCAGATGCAAGACCGGGACAACGAACACATGCGAAACCAGAATTGTAGGCACAGATGCGAATCACGTCGCAGGTTAACGATACGAACGCTACGGCGAGCACTGCTAGTGAACGTTCTGAGCTACACCTGAGAGCTCGCGAGAGCAGAAGAAGGCGACAGGCGCCACTGTAGAGATCACGGACTATTGTTGTTTTATATTCTGTCGTGTCCATGAGCTGTTTGGGATCACCTTGCCTCCGCCAGCTCGGCGAAACTTAGTGCAACCATGGCAGAAATATTGAACTTGAACTTCGTGTTTGAGATGCGAGACTCAGGTCGAGGTTGTGAGGGGGATTTTGCCTCGTCCGCGGGTTGTTGGACAAGATGGTATTGGAGTGCCTTTGAAAGTCCGTCGGTATGAATGATCGGTTACGCTGCACTAGCAGGTTCACATATTTTCCTTACTCGTTCTCGGCTCAGACTCTTAGATAACACGCATATGCTTGTATCGGTAGCCTCGAGGACT